GGGATGTCATGTTTTCAAACCTTGAACATAGCCTCTAGCCATCTCAAAGTGAGATGGGGGTGGTTTGGAAGCAGCCAGGTGTGGGTCATTGCCTGCGAGCAGCACGGAGAAACGACCCTGGGAATTGCCTGGAGAACCGGGACCTTGTGTGGAAATAATGGCATCAGGAGAAGTGGAGATTTGTTGAGAGTCTCCAAATCTGAGTCGCATTCATATGGTGGACTGGATGAGGACCCACCGGGAGACGTTGGTGAATGAGTGAGCCGATGTTGATGGGTGCCCCTTGACACCAAACGAGGGGTCGAAGGATGTGGACATGGTGGTGGTGGTGGGTAGTATCTGCATGGGGGGAAGAAATCCCATGGATACGGTCGCTCCATATGCTCAAGGTTGAATTCTCCATAAGGCAATGGTACCCAATATTGCGATGGCTGCAGTGCGGAAGGCTGGGGTGGTAAGAGGGTCGATGTGCGTTAAGGGGCCCTTGGAGAGCCTTCTGGGGATGACTGCCCACCAGGTGTAGGAGTTGGAGATCTTGCAGGCAGGTGGTTGGGTCCCGACTGGAGTGGAGATTCGTAGATCTCTCTGTCAGAAATTGAAGCTTGAGCCAAGGGGTTGGAGCGTTCGGGACTGGAGTGTGCCAAGATTGTAATCTGTGGGGTTTACGCTGGAGGTGTCACCTGCATAACCGACTGGCAGCTCGGAGGTTCAGTTGGTAGCAAGATAGGCACAGCACTCCATTCAGAGCAAGGCACTTTATCCCACTTCCTGTGCTGATGCTTAGATTTCTCAGGTCTGTCCTTCTTAGGACATAGAAACATAGAAACAGAACGAGTCAGAAGGGGCCTCCCAAGCCATCCAGTCTGACCCCCGGCTCCTGCCAGCTCCACTCATGACATGCCCACCATGTGCATGTCTAGCCTATCCTTGAACACCCTCACTGATGGGGCCTCAACCACCAACCGGGGAAGCCCATTCCATACCCTCAGGGTCCTAACTGTCAGGAAGTGCTTCCTGGCATCTAAATTGAACCTTGGTTCCCTGAACTTCACTGAGGATGTTCCCTGAGGATGTTTTGGTTTCGAGGGTTCCTCGGACAAAATGTGGGCTCTTTATGTGCCCTGACAAAAATCTCTAGGTTGAAGTCCAGACTGGTTCTAGGTGAGGCAGGAACTGAGATGAAGATGCCTCCCCTTTGTGGGGAGATCTGCTGCGACTGGCTTCCATTTGCTGCATTGTGTGATGGGCTGATTGCTGTAAGGGAATCTGTGCCACTAGAGCAAAGGCATCAGCTTTTGTCTGGATGTCACAAACTCTCAGTTAGAACTGTTGAAATCTTTTGATTAAAGTTGGAGGGGTCTTCTATTAACAAGTTTGTGTCTGGAGAACTCTACTGTGAATCACTGTTCTTATTTCATTTTTCCTCTGTCAGATCTCCTGGAGGTCAAGCCTTAATGATAATGCGGATTACCAAAGTGGGGAGGTGTAAGAGGGCACTGCCATGAATATGAAGAGAGGTGGTAGGAGGGATTAGAAGGAAGAGGGACCTCCGCAGGAAATGGACACTGGGGTAAATGGGCAAAGGGGTTTACCAGGAAGAGGCAGCATGATGCCGAAGGAATCCTCACAACATTAAGGCTGATAATGAGCAGAAACAAAAAGGGCTTCTACCTACATGTAAATAGGAAGAGGAATGGGAGAAAGCTGGTGGGACCACTTAAAAGGGAGAAAGGGGATCTTATAACTGAGAGGGAACAGGCACAGATGTTAAATGCTTATTTTGCTTCAATGTTCCCCCCAAAGATGGTTGGAGGAGTTCTACCTGGGGGGCTAGATGAGTTTGGGGTTATGGGGGCACAAATTGGAGTCACCTCAGTAGAAGTTGAGGAACTCCTCAGGCCCCTGGATGTTACAAAGGCACTGGGCCCTGATGGGCTACATCTGAGGGTATTTTGGGAATTGGCAGGGGTGCTCTTGCATCCATTGGCCAAAATTTTTCAGGCCTCATGGAAAATGGGAGATGATCCGGAGGACTGGAGTCTGGCATCAGTCATTCCAATCTTCAAAAAGGGAAGCAGAGGGGGTATCAGGAACTACAGGCCTTATGTCCATTCTGGGAAAGATGATGGAAAAGCTGATAATAGGGAAAGCTCTAGAAACCCTAGATAGGGAAGGGAAGTTGGCAGCCACACAGCATGGATTCCATAAGATCCTGCCAGATGGTCTCAAGGTGGCATGACAGAAGGGATGCAGTGGATGTGGTTTACTTGGATCTCAGCAAGGGCTTTGACAAAGTGCTGCATGATATTCTGGTCAAGAAATTGTTGAGCTTTGGGATAGATCGATGCACTATTTGATGGATTAGGGCATGAATGACAGACCACAAGCAGAGGATGACTACTGGTGGGGAATCATCAGGATGGCAACTGGTGGTGAGTAGAGTCCTCCAGGGATCATTTCTGGGACCAATTCTGTTCAACCTTTTTATCAATGACATAGAGGAGGGAATAACCAGCATGTTGACTAAATTCACAGATGATACCAAAGTGGGGACAGTGGCCACAACTGAGGAGCATGTGATCCAGATCCAGAAGGATCTGGAAAGGTTGTGGAAGTGGGTGGGGGAGAACAGGATGTCATTCAATGTGGATAAGTGCAAGGTTTTGCAACTGCGACACAGGAATAGGTGGCACCGGTACAGGATGGGGGACATGTGGCTGGAGAGATCAAGAGAGGTATTAGTACTGCTCTATAAGATGCTGGTGCACCCACAACTGGAGTACTGCATCCAGTTCTGGGCTCCACATTACAGGAGAGACATAGCTAGGTTAGAATCAGTTCAGCACAGGGCCACAAGAATAGTAGCCAGGTTGGGAGGGATGACATATGAGAAGAGATTGAGGAAACTGGGTCTTTTCAGCCCGGAGAAGAGAAGACTCTGAGAGGAACTTTTAGCAACTTATAGGTATCTGAGGGGATTACATGTGGAGGAGGGCATTGACCTGTTCTTCTCTGCAAAGGAGGGCAGGATGCATTCCAATGGTGCAAAGCTCAAGGAACCGGGCTTCAGGTTGGATGTCAGGAAGTAGTTTGTAACAGTTAAAACACCTAGGATGTGGAATGGGCTTCCAAGATTGAGGCCCCATCAGTGAGGATGTTCAAGATCCGGAAGGATCCTTGTAACTCACTTTTTTTCTATGTTTCTATGTTGGAGACATCCTGTAGCAAAAGAAGCCAAGAGAACTCCTCCCCCACCCCCCGCCAAAGTTCTCTCTTGTTTAAAGCACTGAAAAAAAGAGGGAAAACTCAAAGACTTATAGAAATAAAGAACAGAAAAAGA